ATGGAATATTCCTCAGCCATAAGAAGAGATGAAATACTGCCAATTGTGACAACATAAATGGACCTTGAAGTGATGATGCTAAACGAAATAAGCCAGACAGAAAAAGTTAAAAATCACATGATATCACTTATATGTGGGAAATAAACCTAAAAGCAACAAATGAGCAGGACAAACAAACAGAGACTCATAAACATGGACTATAGGCTAGTGGTTACCAGAGGACTATAGATTAGTGGTTACTAGTGGGATAGGGGAAGAGGGGGAAATAGACAGGGTAAAGGGGGTCAAATATAGGGGGGTAGGGGAGGGTGAAGTGGGTAAACGTGATCAAATATATAGTAGCTGAAGGAAACTGGACTTTGGGTGGTGAACACACAATATACAGATGCCAAATGATAATATACATCTGAAAATTATATGACTGTATTAATCAATGTTACCAATAAACTTAATTAAAAAAATAAATAAAATAAAGTACATTCAGAAAGAATATATGCAAAAAGTGATTCAAAAGCATGCAAAACAGGCTGACTGCTCTGATATTTACTACAACAAATATGTGCTTGTCCTGCAGGCTTAATTCAGTAACTTAGCCTTTTGAACAAGAACTGCTCTTTGCACGTCTATCAGATAGTTAAGTATAACTGTATGAAGCTCATTTTTTTGTGTGTGCAGCTTTACTGAAATAAGTTACACACCATATAATCCACCTAATGTAAGTGTGTAGTTGAATACTATAAATTTTTAAAAACAAAAGTCAAGTTCACAATATTAAAGAACACTGGGCAAATCACTGCTTATAAAATTCTCAGGTGACAGAAGACTTAAACATGCAATTTGGCTCTGTCCTTTTGCCCCAGAAGATAACTGTAAAATCCCCTGCTCAGTCTTTGCACTTATTATATAGTCTCACTACTTCTAAGAAACAGATTACCTCTGTACATTATTCTGTTGCCATGTTAGCTGCGCATAGCACTGATTCAACTGGTGCATTATAAGGTGTACTTGAGGAGAGCCAACATTGCTGGGCATAACACTGTAAGGACCCGTGAGAAGAGTTTGAAGCAGACAAGATAGAGTCTACGGAAAGAAAAAAATTCATAATAGTTACTGATAACTTGAGAAAAATGTAGCACACTTCAACAACAAGATTTAAAAAATTTACTTTCATAGTAAACTTTACCTGCTGGTCTTGCATCAAAGTCTGACAAATACTGACACTGAAATCAAGTTGTTTCTTTAGTTGACTGATTTGTTCTTGCCATTGCTCTTTCTCTTCTACATAAGAGAGTTCTGATACCCAGCGAAGGTTTTCCTGACGTTGCATGCTGATATTCTGTTGTCTTGTCTTGGCTAAAGGACGATAATTTCCATCTGCTGAAAAAGGGCGACTATTCTTCCACCTAATGAAAGATTTAAAGCATTAAGTCATCATATATAATTGTTTGGTTTTTAAAATCTAGCAGTAAACCCTGACATCCTGGTGCATAGAGCAGTATTCTCTTTTTAAGTTTGAAAGACCCAAAAAATATAGAAAACAAAGGGGAACAAACATTCCAGGCTTTTAACCTTATACAATTATTATTTTTTACTCTTTTCCAGTGTTTTTCATTTATGTCTTAAAAACAGAAGTATACACACAATTCTGTATTCTGCAAAATAAAAATATTGATTATATCACGAGCATTTTTTTCATTCTTCATGCTTTAAGCTTAGCCATATTACATCATCAACTGGAATTACTTAACCATTTTTTAATCGTGAAACATTTTTCACTGTTAGAACAATGTAATGAATATCTTTAAAAAAGCTTTTTCACTATTTACGATTTTTTAATTTTTGCTAAACTCCCCAAAACAGAAGCAAAGATCAAAGCTTATAAATCCTGATCCTGTCTAGCTGGGATGTATCTCAGCAACACTTGTGCTATAATACAAAATTTATTTGGTCTTTGTCCCAGATTTCAAACAGTGCTCCTCCAACTCTTGGCATCCCTGAGTATCTTTTGTTATTCATAATAAGCCCCTTTAAACCACACAAGTGTTTATGTTAATAACTCTTGGCAGGCCACAGACAGCTTCATTTTAGGGGCTGGTCACCAAAAAAACCAACCAGGTGATTATAAAGGAGTTGGCACGTTCAGCTCCATTCCTCTAACTCCAAGGAGCGTAGTAGGGTAGGGAATGGAGATTATTTAATCACTTATAGCCAGTGATTTAATCAACTGTGTGTATGTAATGGAACTGCCACCAAACTGCTGAACTAGGCAGTGGTTAGGAGAGCTTCTGGGTTGATGAACACACTTGGGAGAGTAGTATGCCCAGAGAGAGCATCAAAGTTCTGTTCCCCTTCTTCTACCCAAACCTATACATCTCTTCCATTTGGCTGTTCCTTTATAATAAACCAGTAAACACAAGCATTTTCCTGCATTCTGTGAATTGTTTTAGCAAATTATGGGACCTGAAGAGGTGTTGTGGGAACCCCCAAATTTATAGCCATGTCAGACAAAAGTGTGGGTACCCTGGGGACTGGGGACTTATGACTGGCATCTGAAGTGAGGGCAGCTTTGTGGGACTGAGCCCTTAACTTGTGAGGTCTGCCCTAACGCCAAGTAGTTAGTGTCAGAATTCATCTAAATTGTAGGACACCCAGTTGGTTCGGAGAATCAAAGAAATGCTTGGTGTTAGAAAGACCAGAGACTCTTTAAATCAAGCAAAAATTTAAACCAGTGAAACTAACCTATTTTTAGTTTCCTTTAAACGGTAAGAGTTATGATTCATGCTGTTAGGAGGATACATAGAAAAGTTATCATTTGAACTGGCATCTTGCTCCTCTTCTTCCTCCTCTTCATCTGTCCGAACGACTCCTTCAGAAAGGTAACCATCTTCATCTCCTTCTTCATCTAGTGCACACTGGGTAGAACCTCCCCAAGTTGCCATTGTTCTAAAGGGTAAAAGACAAAAACCAAGTGATCATTCTGGAGATGAGCTAAATACTTTACCACCTACTATGTGCCAGACATATGTATATCAAATATATACATATATGTGCATGTACGTGTATATAAATTTTCACTGAATCATAGTAACTACAAAATGAGTAGTACTTTCCCCACTGTTGTTATAGAGAATATGTTTACTCTGCCTTCCACAAAACAATTCTTCAAATAAGCTAAAATTTTTTTCCTAAACCCCCTTCGACTTTTAACTTTTCCTTGAGTAACAGTTTTATAGATCACAGCTGTCCATAGAACTTTCCACAATAGCAGTGATGATCTATATCTGTATTGTGCAATATAGTAGCTGCTAGGTATGTATGACTAACGAGCACTTAAAATGTGGCTAGTGTGACCGAGAAAATGAATTTTTAGCTTTAACTTAGTCACCTGTATCTAGTGGCTACCATATTGGAAAGCACAATTCTATACCCACGGTTCTCAAACCTAGATGCTTATCAAAATTATCCAAAAAACTTTGTTAAAGTACAACTGTGTGGTACTCAGAAAAGAACAAAATACTGTAGATGTACTTTAATAAATGCATACGGGGACACCAAGAATGGGAAAAGTTCTTCTAAGAGGAAGAAAAAGAGGGAAGCTTGGTGCAGTGTTCCAGAAATGCCATCTGAGAATATCAAAATATAAGGTCACGAGAAATATGGATTCAAATTTTTAGACCTGAATACTACTATATCAATAATAAACAATCTCACAGATTACTAACTCTTATAGAAATATTCTTGATATGAAAATTTCAAAATTAAGTCTTAAAAACTAAATGTCTTATATAATAAAATATTTTAAGGTTGTTAGAAACTTTACAAACAGCAGATGTTCAATTTAAGTGAAAAAAGTGCTTATTTCTGGCCTGATGGAAAAGCACCACAAAGTATCAAGCATTTCTCCTTTTTACAAGTTTAAACCTTAAGAAAATAAGGTTTATCTATTCAAGAAAATCTATACTACCATTTGATAAAGTGCCTTAGTAATTAAAAAAGAGAAAGTTGATACTAGGGAAATTGTGAACAGAAAGTAGCTCAATTTAGTGAAACTGAGTCACAAAGGTGATGCTTAAACATGACCCTCACTGAAAGAGATTTGTGCTGTGATGTAGAGGCAACAAGGCTGTCTATCCTACAGGCCTCAAGTCGATGATGTTAACAAAAATGATTGAAACAATTCTTACTTTTCTGTTCTACTTTGTTGAGGAGTACACAGGTTTTCAGATCCCTCACTTCTCAGTGAAACAGCCACTGGAGATGCAGTTTCAGCTAGACCTTGCCTCCTCTGATGTTCAGCCATCAGAGCTTCAAGCTGCTTTCTTCTCTGGCGCAGCTCTTCCCTTAACATTTCATGTCTTTGCATTTCTGACCACAGCTATTTAAAAATCAGAGTCAGGTTAGTGTAAACATCCGGATTTGTTTTCGTCTTAAAGAATAACAGGCTAATACTACTGTCAATACCAACAAAGATTTATATTCTCATTCTATCCTTTTTATACTGAGATATCCAAGTAGGCTAAAATATTTTAGTGATAAATAATAAAAAGTTAGGCAATCATTAATTCTTGATAAAAACAATACATTTCATCAACTATTAAGAGAAAGTTAATAATGTTTCCTATAAATCACATACAAATAAAATGCCAAAAAATAGGTTTTTCTAACTGAAATGATTACTATTTGTTGCAACTATCCTTTACATATAATTCTACCAAATATTTTCTAAAAAAAGTCAATCAAGACTATTTTGAAATGACCCTAATTACTTTTTGGAAAAAAATTATTTTTTCCGCCAACTAAAAGACACAGAACAGGCTACATTTAAAAACATGTTTCACAGATATTTCTTACGACATGACATATATAGCATAAGGAATATGGTTAATATTGTAATAACATTGTATGGCATCAGAGAGGTATTATTAGACTTATCAGGTAATCACTTGGAAAGGAGTATAAATGTCTAATCACTATGTTGTACACCTTCAACTATTAAAATATTGTATGTCAACTGTAATTAAAAAATAAATTTTAAAAAATTTGTAACTTAAGACTTAAGAACTTAAGACTCAAGGGTACAATATACAGTACCTCGTTATCTACTATTGAAGGATCTTCCGGCTCAAAAACAGATTTGCTTGCATTGGTTACATTTTCATTAACAGTTGGGGTTGAAGTAACAGCTGGCATATATATTTTTGTGGGACAATTACCCGCACTAGTGGCTGACAGCTAAAAAAGGATTTGTAAAAATTATTATGAGGAATTAAAGCAATTTTGTTAATTCCATAAAAGCAGTTATTGTACTACTTTTCTAGGGTTCTAGTAACATATTTAATGTTATTAGAAGACCTCAATTGCCATCATAATCCAAAGAAAATCTGACATAATAAAGATGAGAACACAGGCTAAAGTTGATGAGTAGTAATCAACTTTCAGGAACAACAGAGAAAACAGGAATAAAATGTTATTGTAAAAAATTTCATATATTCAACCCAACTCTAGCATATATTCCTCTGGACATTGTATAGACTGGGAATAAGAAAAAAGGATTAGATAAAGTAGAAAAGGTAAGAGTCTAGAAAATAAAGTTATATTAAAAATATCGATGTATTTTCCATTCCTTGAAAACAAAACCTGACTAAAGAATAAAGCTAACCCGTAAAGTTCAGGAAAAAAAATCTCAAAAAGAATTCCCTTTCCATATCAACTCCTCTCCTGATTACCTGACATGGTCAAAGACTGTTCATTCTCTGTTCAAAGACTATGTATAGGGTACTATTAATAAGCAAAGGTATATACAGTTAATATTCAAATTACAAATAAAATATTTCAATTAATCTCCCTAGATAACCCATGATGGTTTAAAAGCTTTATTATATAATCTTAGTCCCTTAATTGCTATGTTCAAACCAGAGTATTTTAATAGTTATAAATACCCATGTTCTGAATCTACAGCTAGCTACAGATTTCTAACAACTAAAAGAATGGAAATAATCAGTCAATTCCTATGTGCTAGCTTTCACAGTATAAATATATATCCCTAACCCATTTCATTACTTCATCCGTTTCATTAATCATAAAATTAGCAGGTATGTCTGTTGTCTCAGTACTAGAAAAAGAGTACTTTCAGTTGACATTGTTTTAAACATCTTTTCAAAGAAAGAAATTTCCTAATTACCTGTAGGTCAGGACATGCCTTTTGCAATGCTTGAATTTTCTCTTGAATCTTAATCAGTTTCTTTCTTTCTTCCTGCAATTGTTTGAGCTCTCTCTGTTGCTGCTGTAGTTTAGCCTCATAAAATTTCTCTCTATAATTAAATTAACATATTTGTGGGCTCTAGTAAATCTGATAGCATTAAGCATGATATAATACAGTACACTTAGCCAAGTAGTTTCTCTATTACAGACACTAAATTTTTATTAAATGAAGGCTATGAGCTTAACATACCTTGCCTTTTCATTTACTCCAGCATCTTTCTGTATTTTATTGGCATTTCCTCTAGTGTTATTTGCATTTTGTTTAGTGTCTTCTTCTGCTGGGTAGAAATCATCCACATTTGAAGTACTGGCAGAAATAACTCCTTGATCTGCTACATCATCATCCTAAAACCACATCATTATATTAAAATAATCTTGATATATCCATTTTATATCTTAGTAAATACCATTAATCCGTCAAATTTACATAGAATAAAAATTAAAGAAGCAGAGAAAGTACATTTTTTTGAGAACACTGAAGTTACTCCTTTACCAATGGCAGAAAATGAGTATTAAAACTAAACAGTACATTTAAAACTTGAGCTGCCTATTACACAGCAATGACAAATATTAAGTTGCTTTTTTTTATCTTGACCAGATACTGAGCTATTAAAGAAAGCTTTCTAGAAAATATAAAGATTAAAAAAACATACTATTGGAGCTGGGAACTCTTAAGATTTAACTATGATATTAACGATTTCATAGAATCAATGTCCATTGAATGGCTCACAATAGAAAAACTAATGAGAATTTACCACATCAAATCTATAATAAGTACTGTAAAAACAACTAAAGTTCCTATCTTCCTAACGGTAGATCCACATCTTCTCTTGAAATCAATATACCTATTAAAATGGGAGTTTGGAGTGAACTACTACACTTTCTTAAAAACATTTAATTCTACATATTTTACACTTATTTACTTATGCTTTCTCTGAGGTCCTCAACTGAAACGTTAACCTTTGGAAATATCATTCTAATAAAACCTTAAAGAGTTAGAGCTGACTGTTAATTATAAAACTATCTAATTGATTTTAAGTTTGTAGACAGTGTTATTTTGGTCTGCAATCTAAAAACCAACCTAATTCCTTATTAGTATGGATAGGATTACAAAGTAACTAGGTTGGGACTTGAGAAAAAAGCTAGATCATGAGGTATTTTCACATAATAAAAAGTAGAAAAAATATGATACAAGATATATAAAACAACAGTGCATGACATTTCAGAGGGCAATATGAGTAAACAACTGAAATGACATAATCTCCAACACTAAATACTAAGTAATTGACTAAAGAATTATTGTACTGATACGTGTTGCATAACAGACTAAGTAAGGAACTAAGAGATGGCCATCTGGAGACTTCTAAGACACATAAAGTTTCATAAGGACAATGTAAGTTGTCCAAGCTAATCTAATCATTAAGAGTAATAATAGCTTTATAGAATCATGATAACTATACATATGTCTAGACATTCTCCTGAGTCTCTTGGCAAAGGATATACGCAAAGATACAATAAAAAAGACTACCCTTAGTAAAATGAGTAAAACTCATTGATCATTTTTTCAATAGCTCTCTTTCAGGAGGAGACCCCTTAATTAATCCCTCTAGGTTGCAGTTTCCTCATTTCTCACATATATTTCAGGTCTTAGAACACTCTCTAAAGCAAAAGATCTCCACTCAATATAGGCCTAATATTAAGCTGATTCATCTGTAAACTACCAAGTTATTCATCATTTCTGATTATTAATACTTTGGGTAATAAATGTGAAGGAATCTTTTAAAAAATGGGGAAGTCACAAGATAGCACAAGCTATTATTGTTTTAGAAGCTGTCTTAATATTCTCAAAAGGTTATACTATTATGATCAAAGTTCAAAAAGTAAAAAAGACATTTAAAAAGCAAGTCTTCTTTCCATCCCTGTCTCCTAGATCATTTCATTCTCCATAGGTAACCAATGTTATTGGTTTATATATTTACAGATATACTTTGAATATATGAGCAAAAACACGTATATATTACATACACAACTATGTGTGTTTGTATTCATGTGTTTATACAAAAGCCCTTGCTATAAGAGAGAAAACCTGGAAAAAGCCAAAAGCCAATTCCAGTACTGGTTAAACAAGCTGTAGTATATCAATATAATAAAATGCAATCAAGGGTATAGGAAAATGGACTCATATACCACTGAGATACCAATTAATAGAGTCATTCTGGAGAGCAATTAAGCAGTGTCCATTAAAATTAAAATGTGCATAAACTCTGACATAGCAATTCCACTTCTTTTCTGCTCTTGAAAAATACAAATGCAAAGAGGCTTGTACAAGAATGTTCGCTGGAGCATTCAATAGGATCACAAATTAACTAAAGCCCAGTGACACTACAGAAAACTATGCTGCAGCTAAAAAGACTTGTATTTAATACATACGCACACGTGCATATGCACTATTATTTATATCCTATAGTTACTTTTTATATAATATTTCATAATTATTCATCTATAAAATTATACAGAGCTACATATACTGATATAAAAACTTCTCTAAGACATTGTGGAGTGGGGAAAAATAGCAAGCTGTGTAATAATATATAATTTTTAAAATCAAAACTTCTATGTATTTTTTAATAAGTGCATACTGATGTACATAAAAGCACAGAAAAAGGGTCTGAGAAAATAGAATTTATAACTTCTGTGAAGGATAATGGGATTATAAATGGAGGTCCACAGGGAGTTTACTAGCCACGTTTCCCTTTTCTAACAATGGGAGCATTCATCTGTTACTTGAGTTATTCAAAATTAAGTAGCATTTTAAAGAAGTTTTGAATAAAATTTGAAATTTTTTTCATGCATGATAAAAACTGTTTTTCTATAATTTATTAATGTGGTTAATTTTAATGTTTTACACTTCATTTTTTCCAACTATAACATCTACTGATATTATCTATGTTATAGTCCTCTAAATGAAGTTTTTTGGCTTCCAAAAATGATACAAATTTCAATACTTTAGGGTCCCAACGTTATTTGGCACCAGGGATCTGTGTGTTTCTATGAAATCTAATGCCTGACGATCTGAGGTGGAGCTGAGGCAGTGATGCTAGCACTGGGGAGCGGCTGCAAATAAAAATGAAGTCTCACTAGCTTGCCCACTGCTCACCTCCTGCTGTGCGGCCCGGTTCCTAACAGGCCACGGGCTGGTACCAGGCTGTGGCCCAGGAGTTAGAAACTCCTGCTTTAGAAAGTCACTCTAAAAAATATTTCTAGTGATTACATTACTGAGAAGTAGAAACACCTAACAGATGAAAAAGAATGAATAAAAGTTCAATTATTTTTGTTGCTTTAGAAAGATTACAACTAGTCTAACAAACTGCAAAAAGCTAAATAAGTTAGTCAATACAGAAATGTTAATAGTTATGTACATACTTATGTACAATGGCTTTTTAAAATTTATGACTAATAGTTCCAACTTTACTAATTTGGTCTTACTGAACAAGACAAAATGTATATGGCTAATAGTCTCAATTCTGACTCTGATTACAATATAACCTTGGTCAATTAATCTGTTTAATATCTACCTCACTGACATTTTACAAGTAACTGGTACAAAACTGGTGATTTTGCTTATATGTAGAATCCAAAACACAAAATAAATGGGCAAACAGAACAGAAACAAACTTATAGATACAGAGAACAAATTGGTCACCAGATGGAAGAGAGGTTGCAGGGATAGGTAAAAAATGGTGAAAGGGATTAAAAAGTACAAATTTCCAGTTACGAAAATAGTCACGGAGATATAAAGTACAGCATAGGAAATATAATTAATGATAACAATGTATGGTGTTAGATGGGTACTAGACTTATCAAGGGGATCACTCTGTAAGGTATATAAATGTTTAATCACTATGTTGTATACCTGAGAGCAATAAAATATTGTATGTCAATTGTAACTGAAAAACAAATTTTAAAAAATAAAATAAAGACTAGGGTCTCCTGCAAAAAAAACAAACACATCTGTTTTTGTAATAAAGTTATTATGTTGGAACCCAGCCATACACATTTGTTTGCATCTCAAATATGGCTGCTTCTGCACTGAGTAGTGACTGTACAATCCACAAAGCCTACAATATTTACTATCTCACCCTTAATAAAAAAGTATGCTCATCTCTGATATATGGCATGTAAAGTGCTCAGCACTTAAACCTCACATACAGTAAGAACTCAATAAACAAATATTAGTATAATTATACCAACAAAATTATCAAACAAATTTTACCATTAGAGTATACTATTTGACAGTTTTTTAAAAAATCAAGCAGTATCTACCTGTACCATAGCAACAAGATCTTGTAACTGTCTAAGTTTCTGTTTTGCAGCCATAAGTCTATTGATCTTCTGTTCAAATTCAGCATCTTCTGGAGCCTCGTCAACCACACTGCTCCTATGACTAGATAATGAAGCTCCACTGACTCCCTCATCTTCTGCTTCTTCCTCCTCTTCCTCCTCATCTTCACCTTGTGCAACATGAATCCCCTGTTCTCCTTCTCTATTATATCGACAATCTGCTGGAAACATGTATTATTAAAACAGTAATTTAATAAACTTAAGAGTACTAATCAAAGAAAATCCAATTCCCAAGACTATAACAAAAATTTCTGTGAATAGTCATATTCATATGATCATACCTAAAGGAGGTACATTTAAAGCCCTTATGTTGGCAGCAGATCTGTTGTTAATTTCACAATTAGAATTAATTGATCTGCCATCTCTATTATTAGAAACACACTGTGCATTAGAATTACTATTGACTTCATTCCAGGTGGCAGCTACTTGTGGATTTCTAAAAGAAAGAAAACAGCCTGAAGTTATTTAAGGTAAAAAAATAAAAACAACACTAAAAATCAAAATTTTAGAACTGTTGATAAAATAATTCCATAAGAACATCATTGGCTACTTCCCATTTATATTCGTACTATGAATAAATGGCTTGTGCTTTTCATTAACTTCTGCTATTTGGAAATTTAATAAGAAAAACATCTGAAAAATCAAAATTATATCTAAAAATAGAGAGGTAAGAAAATGCTAAGTTAGATACTTCTTGTGATTTACTTGCACTTGATCTAACAAACAGCAAATTTACTAAACTACTTTTATCAATACTTTTCTATTTTTTTCCTTTACAGAGCAAGTAAGATTACACGGAACAAAACAGCAGACTTAACAGGAGAAAAGTTTAACTAAAAGGCAAATAGCATTCAATTGAAGTTTCTTTGATTCTATATTAAAAGTATTAAGTTAGAATATGTTCGAAAAACAAAGAAAGTTCTTACCGAATATTAGTAACAGGTTCAGAATTTTCATGCTCAGAGTCATATTCTGACTCTTCAGTTTCTTCATCTTTTGTATTCTCATTTACAGCATCTGTCATCATATCTGATGTTTGCTCATAATAATGAACTAATTCTCTTAGTTCATTCAATCTTTTTCGAACTTCATTTAACTTCCTGAAAAACAATATATATATATATATATATGTATATATTAATATCCATTTCAGCAAAGTAAAGCATGCATTGTTTTCATGATAGCAGCCAGCACAAAATTTAAACCTAGTTAAATATCTAGGCAGTGTGACTATAGAGATTTAATTTCAAGTCCAGCTTACTCAAAATCTCATCGCTTTATTTTATGTTGTTAGGGACAAAAGCCTAAGAAAACCAGTTTCAAGTGCTCACTTTAAGCAGATAGCTTAAAATTCAATGTCAAAATATATTTGATAGCTTAGAATTCAATGTCAAAAATATTTCTAGGTTTCTTAATACATATCAAAAATGAGAAGTACAAAAATACTCAATTTGAGTACCAGCTCTCAGACAAGTCAGGTATGCGGGCATTATTGAGCATTTACAGGTTCCTGATTTGTCTGTAACAGAGATCTTGATTTGTCTGTAACATACAGAGATCTATAACACAGAGTGTTTACCAAAAATAACAAGTCTGTTGAGTTTTTAGTTAAGTGGCAAGAGTTATGCCAATGTTTTTAAATCCTTAAAATACCTTTATGAACAGGTATATTATTATCCCTATTTTACAGAGGCTAAGTGAGGGTAAGTTATAAGCCCACAGTCACACAGCCTTGAGAGCTATAATTTCAGAGTTATCTGACTCTATAAAGCCTGGATGAGATCTAAACTATTTGAATATAGAAATCTTATAACTTTAGTCCAGCTATTTCTAATCTTTTATTTGAAAATGGAAATACATTACCTAACAGAAATTACCTGTATTACAAAGTCACATATCACTTGGACAACTCAAAGATTGGCCATATAACACACACACATTTCTATCACCATATCACTTAAGAATGTTTATATTATAGTTTTTCCAGTATTAGCGATAATCAAAAAAAAGAAAAATCCCAGAATTTATTCCCACTATTCAATTCTGATCTTTGTAACAATATTTGTAAAAGTGTTTTACTGGAGTTTTTCAGTTGGATTTAGATGGCCTTCATTTTCACTCTCATTCTGAGAAACTAGAGAAGCAGCAGGATAAGGAACCGATGATGTGAGGCCACTGGATTCTCCATTGACAACTGGTGCTAAGCCTACAGAAGCCGAGGGAGCTGAAGTAATACTTCTTTGATCCATACTCCTTTGTGGAGAGGCTGAAGAAGGCACAACTACCAACAAACAAACAAACAAACAAAAAACAAAAAAAACACAAGTTACCATAAACAAATATGGCATTAAACAATGATTATTCATAGTCTGCTTAGATGTAGGAAAAAAAAGTAATCATTAACATCTTAAATTCTGCAGATTTAAATTTCAGAAACTTAAGGATATAACATTCAGGTCACTTATTAACATGTCCCTCAACCAAACGCAGAGTTAAAACAGAAAAGAAAGAACACACACAAGATGGAAATTGGTAAGAATTATGATATTTTACCTTTAAAAAGTAACTAGAGTATTCTTTGATAAACTTGGTTCTAGGTTCAGTTAAACAAGGCCACTGTGCATGATGTGCAGTACACCAATCTACAGATCCTTACAGGGCAGCCTTACCATGTTATATCTCTAAGTGCTCATAGGAAATTATATTTGGGCTCCAAGATGAAACTTTTCCTTGTTCCAAAAAAAAATCCATACCATGAAATACTGCTCAGCAATAAAATGTACTAATTAGATGATGGCTAATCCTCTTTAGACCTTGAACTACATTTTAATTACTTTTCTGTCCACACAGATCATACAAAGAATATCTTATGCCTTCAAGAGTAACAGAGATTAAGAATCTTCGCACTTCTCTCTTACGACTTTAAAACTAGTCATTTATCTCTTTCTCATAGCAACAACCATAATTTTTTGTTGCCAATAATATCAATTGCTACAGATAGTCTCTTCACTCTATTCCTTGACTGTTCTACTTTTTGCTGCTTCTTTCAGTTTCCCAGTGGGAAGAAAATGACTTTTTTGGCATCATCGACAGGCAGAGTGCTGCTTTCTTTATATGTATAAAACTGATCACAAGGCCTTGAGTACAACTTTCGAATTTTAAGGTTTTCTTAGTTGTCTTAATCTGTTTAGGAAGGATAAGCACTGGGATTAGATTATATTCTAGATCAGGAAAAGATTAGCAGAGGTCAGGGAAAAGAAGAGAGTATGTTTCAGGGCCAAATCTTTTGGAGGTAGCAGAGAAATAAGAGATGAGTGAAGGATAAGGAACAGGGACTCCAGAAATGCTTCTACCCCTTGTTTTTTCTTTAATAAGATAGCAGCTGGCTGTTGGAGAATAATGACCAGCTGGGGCTGATCCTACTGACTCCATTTCCAATGCTTTAGCTCCTACTACTAACTGTTTGGGTAAGAGGCAAGAACCAGTCGTGAGAAGGTATAAGGACAACAAATGAGAACCAGCAACTAGATATGAATTAGAGGCAAATAAAACATCTGTGGAACAGAAAAGATAGTTCCTATAGTATAAGTAAGATGACTACTGACTTTCCTATTTAACTAGTATAACCATATAACTAGTATAACTAGGATGACTATGCCTTTCCTATTCCCACCTGAGATGACTATTTATATATTTTTAAAAAGGATGTAAGTTATAGAATTTCTGAGCTAGACTATTTATACTATATAAGTATCTCATAACTTTTTTATAAGTACTTTCTAAATCTAATAGTTTTTAAATCAAAGTACTAATTTGAGTTATATTTAAGGAAAAATTTTGAAAATTCTAAAAAATGCAGTATTATTATGTCTAAGCAACTAAAAGCTACCACCTTCTCTTCTACTTTTCCCTTATTAAATAAAATCCTACCAATTTTCAAGGCTCGACTTTATTCTTTCCCTTTTCTGAATTATGAAACAGATCCACCATCTATTTGGCTTTTATCATACGCTGCCTTGTTATTTAAAAACTTCACATGCAGGTCCTATTTCTCCACAAAACTTATAATTTTCTTGAAAACCTGTTCATTCATTCACCAAGTATTCACTAATTATCATGTGCCACCATAATACTATGTGTCCTACATCTTACATGGCTAAGCCAGATTTACTTACATGATGAATTGTTCAGATGCTGATCTCGAAGTGTATGAAGTTCCCCAAGCAGTTTGTCCATTTTTTGTTTCTTTTCTTGTAACACTCTCATTTTGCTAAAAAGTTGGACTTTCTCATCAGGTAAATGTTCTGAAACTGATGAATTCCTGCTCTGAGAAACCTCCCTAGTTAATGAAAGACTTTCTGCTTGTCTCCTATTATCTGGAACAGCTGGAGACTATTATAAAAAAAAAAGGAAAAGAAAAATAACGATTAAGGAATTAAAGGTTGCATTCTCATTTTGAAAGTGCATAAAAATTCTTAATAAAAAGCGATAAATATTTGCCGAAGTTGTATTGGTGGGTAAATGTATGTCTTTCCTATTCCTAAATTGCATAGTGCTTCCTGGTGTGCCACTATAACACACATGTACATATGCTTTTACAGACACACATTAACTACACGGTGGTCTTGGATTCACTGGATATTATTATCTGGATATAAATCCAGATACAGACACACATTGGTGGTCTTGGATTCACTGGATATTATTATCTGGATATAAATCAAGTAAATCTAAATTAATCCAGAAATGCCACACTTCATACAAAATAAACCTTCAAAGATATTTTCTTTTACTATCTTCTTAGAACTACCACCATAAACTCTAACTTCTTAGCCTACCAGTTTTTCCTACCACTCCTTTCTTATGTTCTTCTATTTAATATATATATATATGTGGAACATTTAGAAAATTCACTAAGGCTTTAGGGAATCATATAATGAATAAATAGCACTGATCTCAGTCCAATTTTAACATTTTGCTACATTTGCATCAATTTTTTTTAAGAGAAATGTAACATTAAAGATATAGCTAAAGCTCTAAATGTACCAGTCCCCAATCCTATTACTCTATCCAGAGGTAATCATAATATAAAATTAGATATCTACCATTCTTATATATGCTTTTATTTCATAATGCCTATTATGTATGTTCTTTATATATTTTAAATATAAACTAAGTGGTATTCTTCTTAAACTTGCATTTTTTGTTCATTAGCTCTGGTTCGGTTACTGCAACTGGTTACAGGATTTCACCCTAAAGTATATCATAATTTATTAGTCCATTTCCCTGTTCATGGGCATTTGTTTCTGACTTTTTGCTGTTATCACAATGCTGCCATGAACATTCTTGCACATATCTCTTTGTGAACATGAGTGTTTCTCTAAGGTGGGCCGCTGTATGGTTACTAGGAAAAATTTACTATATATTGTTAAATAACTCCCTAAAGTGGTTGGGCTATATTCTTATTTTCATTTGGTTGGCAGATAGGAGACAGTGAGTCTTCAATCATACTTATTTCCAGTGGAGAGGTATCAATTCACCCTTTATTACTCTAGGCCCACAACAGACTGAAAATTTTGCATTTGTATCATTATTTTAAAAGGTTAACAAATTATAAACTTATTAACTCCAAAATTAAACTTAAGAGTTTTCTTAAAATTGTTAGTAAAATAATGCAAGATGATGATAGATTCAAACACAACTTAGAAGTTGTAACCATTAACCTTTGAGAGGAAAAAAGAACACGTCATCTAGTAGCATATAAAGGGAAAATTTCACTATTCAATTCAAAGTAGATTTTCCTCTAATTTAGTGTTTCTCAACATACAGTCCCAGCACAGACTACCAGCACTGGAATCACACAGGGGAAGCCCATCCCAAATGTATGAATCATAATTTTTGAAAGTAGGGAGATTCTACTAACCAGAAATTTACATTTTTTTTTAACAATCATGCCAGGTGATACTTATGCTCAGTAAAGTTTGAGCACCACTGTTACAATTAATGTGATTTTAAACTCGACTATATTAAATTGTTACCTGAGAATCACGAAGCTGATTATGAAAACGTTGAATTAAATCATTCAATTCTTCATTTAATTCAGATGTGATACTGACTCCAGATAGGCTACCTGAAGTTTCTGCTACAGCTGAAAAAAATTAACAACCATTCATTAAAGCAAACAAATAAGTACAATATCTTTTCAATTTCTAAGAAGATAAAATTAAATTTTGGGGGAGGGGAGGGAAGGAACTAAAAAAAAAAACCTCACCTAATTTGAAACTAGTTAACCCTCAGATTTATCTGCCAACCTATCATTTAAGTTTCCATCTAACCTGAAAATAAAGGGAAACTCAGAAATCATCTTTCTCTGTTCCACCATTCGAGGGACACATATGACCCAATTAAGAAGTAAATGAATGGAGTGAAGGTGGGGGTGGGTATTTCAGGCTGGGTTAGGGGAAAGGCAGGAAAAGTGGTTAGCCTGAAAAATAGCAGCTGATTCTGACAGGTCTCAATCCCCACCTCTCCCAACATGAACGAAAGAATCAATGCTCTCGTTAAGGAGCTGGCAAATTTTACTTAAAGATTCAGATAATAAATATGCTGGGTTTTGTGGAAATATAATTTTTGTCTCAACTACCCAACCTTGCCACTACAAGGCAAAAGCAACAGACAGTACATAAACAAATGAGCAGGGCTGTGTTCCAGAAAACTTTATTAGAGGCAGTGGGCCAAATCCAGCTGGCCGTAGTTTGCTGACCCCTGCAACAGAACAGATAATTTATTGAACTGCTTGTGACACAAGTCATACTAAAAGACCGTAGTTTTTATCCTAAGGCAGTATTCTGATGGAAATTTTGATAACAGTTACTGGTCTGCTACCCAACCACCCCGTGCTTATCCTCTCCAGCTCTGAAAGAGGCACTGGCTATAAACTGCTTGTTTTAAAGGAAAATACTAGATTTCCCCACTGAGAAATTAGAATTTCGGGGCTAGAAAGAATTCCTCATATCTAGTTCAAATTTGTTTTGAAAAGAAAGAAACTACCGTCTCGATAACTAATACAACTTTCTAGTTAAATGATGAAAGGAGTACTTGCTCCCATGACAATTTATGTTGCCTCTCATACACCAGAAGATTATTCGGCTTTTCATCAGTATTCCCGTTAAATCTCATAAATACAAAAATCTATTTTAAAATTGCTAACCTAAAATTCTTTGAAATAGATAAATTTAAACTCTTATTCATTCTACCAGTGGCAATACTACACATTAAAAAAAAGGAGACTACCTGCTTACTTAAAAATAAAAGTTCATATTCATAAATAAAGACCATTGACCTAGACTCAAGAAATCTGATTCTATTAAAATTCCGTAGAAGCGTAGGTAGGCAAGCCACAAATTCTATATTAGAGTTCCTTCTCTATAAAATAAGAATAAGAAAAAAAGCTCCAGCGACTAACAGTTTTGTTATGATCCAAGGAGATCATGTAAATGTAATTACATGAAATAACATAACTATCACAGCAAAGTCTTACATCTGATACTCCAAACATTAAAAATATTTAAAAATATTTAGTATTGGTCACTGGTAAAATGTTTTTTCCCCCAGATATATCTGTAAGAGCTAATGATACTTTTGGATTTTATAAGGAAAAAGTGGAGATAAAAATCTGTATAATTATTAATATATATCATGCTATATACAAAACTATATAATTATTACAAGGGTAAGGTACATGCACGTCATAAAGTTCCTCGTGAAAATGCAAAATTAAGTTATCCATAACAGTGATCAGAGGGCTGAGCCAGTGGGGCTAGGTGCAGACTGCATAATAAACTGAGTAACAACAAGCTAACCTCAGTGGGGACTGAAAGTAGAGAGCCTACAAGAGATAAATTATTATTAGACTGAGATGATGGACTAGAAAATATACCTTCATTTTACTGAGTTTTAGTAAGTAATCATTTGTTTTCAACTTAATGAGAAATTAAACACGTTGAAGGTGGTGAGTCAAACTATAAAATTGTACTCAATATTAAAGAATTCAATAAAATTTCCACCTAAATGATACATGGCTATGCAAGAAGGAAGAAGAAAGAATATTTCTGAGTCTCAGGAAGATTGTACAGGATATATAGTTCAAAAAAACTAGTGTACCTAACTGGATACCTAATTAGAACTACTACTAACCTTAGAAGCTAAAGAAGCTCTATAAATTTAATCGCTGTCTCACTTAAGGTTTTAACCCTTAGGAGGCAAGCAAACTATGGCAATCCTTATTGAATAAAGTACTAAAGGTGGAAATAAAAGCATCAAGAGCTCTATCAGTCTGAGGTACAAAAATAGAACTACAGCCTATCCCTTTTACCTCTTAAGGGTACTCTCTGATGAAAAGGAGAGCGAGCTGGCTGGCTGCACGGTACAGTATGATGGCCAGGAGTTGTCCCTGCAATCTTTTCTGCATAACCAGAGAAAAGCACATGATAGGGTAAGCCTCACATGTAAGTTTCTAAGCTAGTCAACAATCAAGATCTAACTATACAATAACCAGAATCCACCTTGCAATTCCATTATTTATTGAGCCTTGCTTATAAAAGCAACATTCTAAGTTTGTGGCATACCTGAATCATCCATCACAGCAATAGCTTGCTCTGCTTTATGTTGCAGAGCCAGAAGAGCAGCCTGTCGTCCCTGCAGAGCTCGCAGTTGCTCCTGCTGCTGTAACATCCTTTTTAATAAATCGTGTTGTTTCTTCAAATTTTCTATCTCTTCCATAGGCTCCTGCTGAGGATCTCTGGCCTGGAAAATAAAACCAACAATACTTATATCTAATAAAATTCATGTTCCTGTTTCAACTAGCAATGGCAAAGTACATACACAGATAATAAAACAGTATTAAATATACCACCCTAGATATAGTTTTAGTAGACTGAAAGGAAAAGAAAAAAATGATAATACAGAGATAGCTTGTCATATTAAGGATTAGGCAGTTAGACAATTTCACAGTGAAAAACCATAAACAATGGCATGGCTTAGCACAGAAAGGAATTAATAAAAGGAAAGTAAAGAAAAGGCAGACAAAAAAAAAAAAAAATAGGGAGGCCAAGAGGGCAAAAGGAGCCCCTACCCTCCCGCTCCACACACCAGGGATCCAGGCCTTACAGAAAAGAAGGAATAGATCATACCAGGCTAATGCCTAAAAGTATCCTTGAAAAAGACCAGACTAAAAAACATTCTGCCTTACTCCTATAAGTGATGTTTAAAAAATCAACAAAACAAAAACAAACCCACTATTTTCTAACCAAGGACAGAAATTTTAAAAATACATTTTTATTTGACAGTTTGACGTGTATTTAACAGTTTGATGTGAAAGGCTTTAATTTACTTGCATCACCTTATACAAGCAAATGATAAAGCAAAAATTTTATATTTTTTCTTTTAAAATATGTTCATTTAGCTGATCTTGAAGACATTAAGTGCTTTGAAATTCCCTCCAAAACCTAGCATTTTGCTTAAAAGTAGCAGATCAGATTATTTTAAAAACTAAGTTTTAAAAAACTACTCAAATGTAACAACTAGAAAAAGTAAGTTGCTTAAGCAAAAAAAAATTTAAATATAACAATAAATTATAAGCCAAATTATGCACAAAATGTTTACCATAATGGTATTTTTCATCATTGATTTGCCTTATTAAAAATCCTATTTTAAAAGTTTAATGATTTTACCTACTATTTACAAAAAATACTTCTATTAACTTAGACATGAATATTATATTCTTTCTTGTCCTAACTCATCTTCTTAGTTCTGGCTTATTTCAAGACTGTTTATATCTTGGGGGGGAAAAAAAACAATTAGAAGGGGAGAAGGATAACTATCAATAGATCACTTCTCAGATTTGATTCAAAATAATTCCATCAAAGTCATTTGTAAAATGTTAAACCAGATCCAAATAAGTACAGATCTCAACAGAGTAAGAGAAATCTCTCCAGATTGATATTAAATACTTCCGCAAAGTATCAATGGTAATTAATTAGGAGAAGAAACATTACACAAATAAGGCAAAAAAAAACATCTAGGAAAAAAGAAAACCTTCAAGAATGTTTATCGCCATCTAATTTATAATCTTCCCATCTATCAAAAATAATTTAGACCTCAAAGTAATCTGAAAGCTATCTAATTTTAAAAATTTAATATTATGGACTTTTACACTTCAAACAAATTAACTTTTAAAAAGAACTTTAATTCTCATTAGTCAAAGAATTTAAAGAAACAGTTCATTAGTCAATGAACTATTTATTATAGTAAATACAATTACCTTCAGATTTTTCACTAATCCAAAAAGGAATTCTCAACAATTTCTGAAATTAGTGAGACTTTATTACTGCAATAACTTTTGCATCCATAAAATATTTCAAAATAATATTTTTAAAAACAGCTGAAGGAGATGGGTGGGGACTATTATCAAACATAAAAAAAGCGAAGATGAGAAAATGAAAATAAAAATATTTAAGAACAAGAAGATGGTGCATGGAACAGAAATCCAAAATGGAAGCTAGAACTATGTAAACAATACAAACACTTATTTTTATTAAAACTTTTTGAGTCACTTTTAACAAGCACCTTTTTAGTTTATAGATTAAAAAAATAATAACTTGGGCATGAAATCCTGAGTTACATATAGGTAACAGGTCCAATTTCAGAAAACCCTTATTCCTCCTTTTGCTCTACTCAACTGAGGTTCTTCCAGTAATTCTTCATGGATCAAATATATTTTCATAGCTAAAAGGTACTACAGATAATATGTACTCCCATTTTTTTTTTCATGTGAAAGGTGAGGATTTATAAGCCCAGAGATAAAGCTGTGATTTATCTAATATCACAAGTAGGGGAAGCCAGAATCCTAGGTTCTGATTTAGTGTTTTTCACATCATGCTGTCTGCCCCAAAATTATGCACTTAGATAACTCTATATACAGAAGTCTAAGACACGATCACTGAAGCAGCATAGTGTGATTTGGAAGACAAGGCTAGCCCACATGAAATTAAGTGGAAAATGATAATAGAGGGTAGACAGTATTTAAAAAAGAAGCTTATAAATTCTGTAAGAGCTAAGATTAAGTGAAGGGGGTAAGATGAGTATGGAAAAACAAAAAACCATGGCTATTTGTGGAAGGTTTCTTTTTAAAAATTATGTGAAATATCGTTTATAAAATAGGCTCCGCCCTTGTAGGAAGCTTGAGAAAACTGATCATTGTCTATTCAGCTGAAACTTACAAGACTGATTTAAGCTCTGAATCTCAGTTAAGACCTTAACCTTTTTTCCCACTCCTCTAACAGAATACATTTTATAAGGATGTTAAGGGGGGAATGGAGGTGAGGTAGGGAGAATGACAGATTCTACACAGCAGAGAAAGAATGAAGTCAGTCAGTGGGAATTAGGAATTTTTTTCTAAGAAATTAAAATCATTTTATGAACAGAGTACTGATAGAACTACCCTAGGATGGCCCTAAGAATCAAAAAATTAAAGAGATTCGAATTAGAATAAACTCCAAGAAGCAAGTTCAAGAGAGAATATTCACTTTTAAGGATGTTATTTAAAGTAACTTAAAAGCAGAGAAGTAGTTTTCAAAAGTAAATAAAAAAAGTAAAGCTGGCAGATACTATGAGACTGTGCTGTAGTAACTGTCAACTCTTAGGTTCTGTCTGTCACTATTCAGAAGACTTAAAGAGAATAGTAAGTTCCAAAGGATATCTACTGTGCTTCACATTCACTTTTTCTTCTCCAAAGAAAATAGTTTTAAAAATAATCAGGAACTTTATTTCCTCTTCCACTGAAGAGGGGTACCTTTGCTTAATACTTCACAGTAACATCACCAGAGGTGATTTCAAACTGTATCCTCAAACTCTTAGCCAGGAAAAACAAAAAAGCCAAAATACCTAGAAGTTAAGTTTTGTCATTTTTAAATAGACACAAAAAAAGTACAAAATATGTACGTCACAGAAAAGAAAGACTAATCCTAGATATTAAGCTAGTAATAAAACATGAAATTAGTCTTATCTATACTTGATTATTAAAATAGTACTTTATTCTTGCCAAATGGAAATAAGAACTTTATAAATGCTAGTTAAACTGTTTAAGTAGAACTACACAAATAGTTAGCTGTCTTTAAACCTTTCCAGAGTGCATTCATGCAAATCATAAAAAATTAAAAGAATATCTAGAGTAAACAATGGAGGAAAAATCAGCAAAAACATTAGCAAAGAAGTCACTGGATAATTAAGAATTTTCTTTAAAAAAAAAAAAAGAGAATGACAGGGGTTTCCAACAGAAACAAAAACATAATCCAAAAAAACGCTATAAAAAATTTCATTCTTACAAACACAGGAAAGCTACTAGCTTGCTCTATTTTTTTTTTCTTTAATGAATAACTACAGGAAATAAGACAAAACTTAAAAGTACCTTCATCTTAAAAAAAGCACATTTGGAACTTAATCCATGAACACGACTATCAAAAACAAAAGGCAACTAACAGTCAAGGCAAATATTTTATTATATTGAGTTCTCAATAGCAAAAAAAAAAAAAAAAAGGGATTAAGTTTCAAGTCCTCTTTTAAAGCAAATTAAAAACAGCTGCCAAATGTAATCTATGGAGAAGAGTAAAAGAAAGCAGAAAAGAAAAAAAACACTAAAGGAGAGCATTTTACTAATGCAAATTACAGTACAATTAACCATGTTAATAACTTAAATATTTAAGAGCAATAACAACAACAGAAAAACAAATAAGGAAGAGGAAATATGAACAAAAGAGTTGCTCATTTAGAGACTTCCCAAGTTAATATCATGAAGTATACCTTTGAGGGAAATCCACGTTTTCGGCTATATTTCCTATTAGGCCTCAGTTCCCTGTCATTCTGAGGAGGTCTGTCAACTTTCCCTTTTGGACTTGTAGTAACGTCAATGTCTGAAACCTGTTCTTGTGAAGCTGAATTCCCTAGTTTGTCCTCAATGCACGGCCGAATTCTCAGACTAAAAGATGCCTCCTTTATTAAATAGTGTAGCATATTAATTTCTTAACACAAACTCCTGTTTAACATACAAGCCAGCCTTGTAAATAAATACAAAAAATATACCAAAGTCCATCTTTTAAAAAAATCAATCCACCCTCCCCCGCAAGTGGAAATAAACTTAAGACTTTTAAATTTCTATACACTAGACTACTGCTTATTGTAATTAAGTATCTTATCCTAGGCAATTTCTAAGCTATATAACAACTGCTAAATCATATTTTAGGTTATTTTGCTATTATTTATCAACTTTCATATAATTGTTATGAAAAAATTCTCTTCATGAACACTATATATGCTAGTACATAAATTTTAATAAACAACTATATCATTTCCCATCCCTCCCCAACAAAATTCCTTTACCACACCCCCCCAACCCTTCCATTTCTGCTGAAATTAAATGAGGAAGAAATTATTCCCAACACCACTATAAATAGAAAACCAATTTCCCCACAGTAGAATCCTTTTCTCCAGCAACTGTTTGGGACAAGCCCTCTTTGAGTATCTCCTGGTGAAAATAATGTAGAGAAGAAAAATTCAAATTTCCTCTTCAAATTAAGAAGGGCAGGGAAGAGAAAAGAGGCAGGTAAGAAACAATGCAGGTCATTACTAAAAGGAAACAAATCCTCAAATTCCTAATGCTGAATGGTATTTGGAAAATATCTTAGTAACAAAAGAAATATGCATCATTATCCTTCCATAAGAAAAGCTTTACTGCTAACAGGTTTTCAAGTATACAAGCTTACTATAGTGCACAGTTATAGGTGCATCTGGTAAAATAAAAATATTTAAAAGCAAACTTGTTTCAAAGCGACTACTTTCTATGAACTAAGTTTATTTTAAAATTTCTTCAAAATTCTGTAAATTCCTAATATTTCAAAAGACATATTTTTAAAATAAATTTTATTTTGCAATCAGAAATTATAGTGTTCTTCTCTGTGAATAAATCACAAAGAAAATGCTACCTTGTCCCATTTTCATCTCAATTTTTCAGTCACCTGATCTGTTAGTTCAAGGCTAGCCTGGGAAATGAAAAATCCTAAAAGCCTTAACATGAGTCCTCAATGGCAAATGAACTTTTCCAACAGACAATATGCTAAGTAATGATACTCTACTCTTACAGCTCTCATATCCACAATGAATCTGAATTTTCTCAGTGCTCCTTAAAATGAGTAAAGCTGTGCTTAATGAAACCAACTAGAAAAACCATATTTCTGTAAGCTGAAGATCAGAAATTACACTTTAAATCACTCATTAAAACAATTTTTAATGTTAATAAACTTTTAAACTTCCAAGTTTAAAAAGAATATCTCAGCATTAACAATTTGAGGGTTTCTTCCCTGAAATACAATTTGCATTAAGGAATGCCTATAAAAATATCATCTTGAAAAATGGGGGGAAAGTTTAAATCTTCATTCTAGCACTTTAATTACCAAAAAGCCGCTTACCGTGGTATCTGAAGCTTCAGACTGCACATCTATGTTTAGCGATGTGCTCTCAGCTACAGAACCAGATCCCACAGCTGAATCTATAGTCCGAACATCCTCCTCCTCATTTTCTCTAGCCTGAAATATTTTAGTGGTATAAATCATACAACTATTAAAAAGGGCAATAAAATGTTATCATGGATGGCACGATTTTCTGAAAATATATCAACTCCTCTGAGGTGGTATCAGAATGTCATCAGTACACGTACACTGATATACTACAAAAAATAGTACATTATTCAAAAGTTCTAAAACTTACAAGAATTTTTTGGAGAAATTTCATATACGACTTTTCTTGTTCTTTAAGGTGATCTATTAGATGAGTAAGACGCTCAACATTAGCGGATCTTTCATTTTTCTCTACAAGATCTTCCCTCATGGAACTAGCTTTAGTAATATAGTCACGAATCTGAACAAGCCTGCTTACAATCTGCAGGGGAAATATTTTTTAAAAAAAGGCATGATAGTAAACAATATGTAAAAGTGACCATAATTCATGCAACAGCAACAATTTTGGAGATTTTTAATTTCGGATATAACAAAATACTTCTAATTTTTGTGTAAATTCAAATATGCAAAAGATCTGAATCATATTAAGAATTTAATCAAAAGATAATTGACAATACTAACTTCTCCAATTACTGTTAATTTTAAAATTTCAAAATTAGTTTTAATCTATATTACCTGAAAAATTATATTTACAGAACTGCATACCAAGATATTTACATAGATACTTCTAATGTTTATATTTATAAATCAATTTCAAGTAGTATAAATATTTTCAAAGCAGTTTTCAAAATAATTTTACCACCATTTAAAAAACTCTTACAACAATCTATTAATCACTTTGCTCCCAACCAATCCCTCTTCACTAAAAGTGAACAATATAGCACTTGTCAGATAAACAGAAACCTTGATTTACCCATATGTGCCATTTCTACAATCATCTTGAATAAAAAAAAATTTACATTATTTTGAATAAATCTGATGGAATAAGGAGTGTCAGGGAAGTACTTAAATTCTACCTAACTAAAATTCTTATGTGCATAACCTAATTTTTTTTTAATGTTAATGTTTATACTTTGAAGTTTGTGAAAGCAAAGAGCAAAAGAAACAAATTTTATCACCTGGCTGCTTTCCATTGCAGGCTCTCCTCTCCCATCTTCTTCAGAGACTTGACAGTTTTGCAAAAGGTCATTACTTAAAGCAGAAGCAAACAACTCTTTACATTGTGCTGATCCAATGACTTCTCTCTTTTGAGGACCTGCAGCAGCATCTTTGCTCTTGTTAGTATTAATCTGCATAGGCAAAAAGTTGAAGGACTTTCGGTTCTCACTAAGCTGACGTTTGTTGTTAGCAGCTGTTGCTCTACCTTGAGAATCACTGCCAATGCTTCTCTGTATATGAAAAAGAAACCAAATCCACAAACATTAATCGTTCAACAACTTTTTAAAAAATTCCAATGTTCTTAGATTCACCATCAGATATTGATTCAGGTGTGCATTAAAAGCTTGCAGTCAGATTTGAAACGGCTTCAGATCTATGAAGTTCTACTAAAATATCAAAATTTGATTAGCGCTTTCTACTAATTTTGTCAGACAATTCAACTGATGAATATAAGCAAGATTAGTCTAAATGAAGTACTAGGACTATGGACCATATTTTAACCCATAGTGCTAGTCTTACTTGTTCACAGAATTTTACATAGGCTTTGGTCCCGATGAATCAATGTTAATTAATATGAACATCAGCATATAAAGATGTGTCTTTGTGAAGTACTGTCTGAAAAAGTACTCAATTCAGTGCCTGGCATACAGTCAGTATTCAATAATTAGTAAATAGATGACTAAATGATGTATGATCATCACAATCACCATACAAGACTTGACCTTTATGCATATTTGGAAAACTGTTTATCTCTGTGAAATCCAGATGTGATAATAAATTATGTTAAGAGTTCATTATCATTTCTACTTCCTCTTAGTTCTAAACTTACTTTCAGTGATTATAAATACAAACCATAGTTTTATTCTGAATTTGAGGTTATCCAGCACGTTCTACACTGAGCCAATAAATATTCTACACTGGATCTTCCCTTTTCCTTAATAACAATCTTATTCAGTACTAACATGCAAAAATTAGATTCATAATGGAATCACTTAAGTTATTAGTCACAGTATGGCAACAAAGCACAGAAAGACTGTCCTTAGCAAGTGTAGAAATATGACTTTGTTGACCTTCAAAGAACATAGCACCATCACCACTGATTAAAATTCTTTCCATATGCACAGAAACTAAGAAAAAGGAAATAAACAGCTCGATTTTTTAAGATAAATTATTTAAGCATTTCAAATATTTCCCATTGTCATAACTTGATTTTTAAAAATAATTCACAAACCTGATCTAAATCACTGAAGTTTATCCGTTGTTTAAGTTTCTCTAATTCTGCCTGCTCTGGAACAGACATCTGAGTCATATATCTACTATGTGGAAACGTATGTGGAGTCTTTGTCCTTCGCCTTCCAACTCCTGGTGATGACTCCGGAGAAATGTCATTAGTTACTCTCTTATCACTTTCTACACCAAACTTTTTCTTATTCTTTTCTGATGATCTGTTTGCCTTCTTCTGTTGGCCACCCCAATCCTTTAAAAAAGTAAAGGTAAGAGTTAACATAGCCTCTATCAAACCAGGAAAATATTTTGACATGCTGAAAAAACGTTCATCAATCTTAAAAATGATAAAACACTTTTCACATATAGTCTTAGAGACAATTATTTACTTCTAGTAAGCTATTTCCCCCACATTATGTCTAGTCTAAATTTCATAGATTATCCTTTAAAAAATATATTACTTTCCTTTTCACAGATCATTAACAAATGTAAATCCCAAAACTCCAACCTTAGAGTCAGTCTAAATCTTTTCAAAAGCATTTTTAAAAATGGCTCTTTACTCCTTGTAAATTAAATAATGAAGTAAATTATAGATACCTTTACTGGCCTCCTTTAAAACCAGTATGTATGATAAAACAACAGATCTGGAATCAACCTGGGTTCTAAAGTAATTTCTGTTTTCTGAAAAAAATGCTCCACTACATGACCCTAGGCAATTTGTTTAACTTCCCATAGTCTGTTTCATAATCTCTAAAATAGCATTGCATTTAAAACACGATTAAAAACAACATACATAAAATATCTAGCATAGTGCCTAGTATATAATAAACATCTTATTATTTTTTATAGGTAACAATGTACTACATAAGATCTGATATGACAAAAATCTTTATGTTTTAACCAGAATACATTTTTTCTTACTTAGTTATATCCATATAACCTAACTTATCCAACAAAAAAGTCTATAAATCCCACCATATCCAGATTAGCAGAATCTTTTTGTTTTTGATAGTAAAACCTTTGGGATAGTTTCCTCATTTATAACAAAACTCCTTTCTCTACAAACTGTTCCACCACCCCAATCCATGTGTGGGTGTTTCTGTCAACCATTTGTTCTATTACCCACCTGATCCTGGCCACAGATGACTGAAAAAGAGATGCATATCTAATCCAAATTGCGATAATCATATTTTAAAATTTCAAATTGTAAGTAAAAGATAACTAGTATGTATATAATTGCAGCCATAGCTGAACATTTTAGAATAAAAGGGCAGCTATAGTACACCATGTGGACCAGAGAAAAGAGAAAGCTGATCTGTGAAGAAAAAGTGTTAAGCAGAGACACTCAGAAGCAGAGTTAGGGTATTAAAAAGTAATTTTTGACAACTTTCTAGTTCCTTTTCCTAGTCCCTTCCAAAATCTAGCTTTATTTCTTTAAGTTGTTTTCCACAAAACATCTTTCTATCCTTACAAAAAAATTTTTTGGCTTAAGCTAATTCAAGTTGATATTCATTACCTGCAAACAAAAATGTCTTCAACTAATACAGCAAATAGCCCAGCGTCATTTAATATTTTGGCCAGCAAAAAAAAAAAGTGTTTACTTCACAAAGAGTTTTAGTGAAATGACTGGCTAAGTCAAAGGAAAGTTAAATTTTAATACTAACGGTCAACAACACACTATCAATAAGATAGCATACCATATTGTTGAGTCGGTCATCAACACTCTCATTGCTCCAGTTTGGTAAATCCTGATCATTCATGCCTTCTTCAAAAGGACCTCCTCCCGTCGCCATACTGGCTTTAACAATAACTTTCTGTAAAACAAGTGAAAACTAACCTTTTAAAAACATGTAGAAACAATTTTTAAATCATTCCATGAAGCTTAGCAATATAAAGGAACCTTGGAAAAGTTTATTTTATAAGTTAAAAAGAGGTACTGGCAACCACTCAACACAAATTGATTTATCTGTTGTAGGCACATTATGACTAACATGAATTAAGCAGCTAGAGTGATGGAGAGGGGAAGAAAAAGTCTCAGATATCTACTATGTGTACTGGCCTGCAAGCTTTAAGGTTATTTAATTTATTCAACACAGTCCTAAAAGGTAATGAGGTAGGAAAAAGTTATTAATAGCTAAAGCCAAAGTACTCTCAGAAAAGAAACTAAATACCCTCCAAAGACCTGGGCATTAGTTTGTCAAAGATTCAGAGGGCAGAACTGCTCTGCATGAAACATGGAGAAAGGTTTGATTTTAGTAAATAAGGTAATGGTAAACAAGATGAGAAGGCAGGAAGAAAGAAGCAGGACTAGGTACGTGAATGGCCAGTAAAAGGCAAAAAATACAATGGCTAAAAACACTTTAAAAATATTGGTGCCTATAGCCCTATTTTAAATTGTATTGCTGGGCATTTTGTGAAAATCAAGGGAGGGACTGAAGTTCATACCTGGGTCAGAGAGATGAGACTCAGAAGCAGCAGTGGTAGAAGCAGAGTTTCAGAAGCAGAGATGATCGTGAGAAAATAAGACTTCTACATATCTCATGGAAGATGGGATTTCCACTGGGTGTGGAACTGCGCAGGTTGGAGGACTGAGTGAAAGAGGAGATGGTGAGATAACTTTATCTATAATTCAAGGGGGAAGGGAAGGCCATTAGACATCAGGGTTACAGTAGGTTTCTCATTTTACAAACAATAGTAACATTATTCAAAAAAGTTACATCATTTTGCCAAGGTCATTCAGCTAAAAATGCCAAAGAATACAAATCCCAGGTGCTTTGATTCTAAGATCCTAATTTATCCTATTCACTAGAACATAATATTAAAGGGATTGTCATCCATGAAAAAGTAGTATTTATCCCATGGCTAGGACATCTATTAGATTATATAAGAAGCTAAATTTTATCATCTCAAAATAAAAAGTAATGTGATAAAATTCAACACTTCAAATATGAAAAAAATCTTAAAAAGTACAAATTCATTGACACTCATAGTTTACATGTATCTTTATACTGTTTGTTTTTTTCAAAGAGCATATTACTTCAATAAATTTCTATAGTTGAAAGAAGTATGTTTTAAACCAATACCCAATAATTTTAAAATAAAACATGAAGAACATCTGTATTAAAATAAAGACCAAAACAAGAATGCCACTTATCAGTATTTAGCCTTTGAAAGTTTTAGTTTTAGTTTTGAAAGTTCTAAAAAACAGAAAAATATAAAACAAATATTTATAAAGAGAAAAGGTAGTTTTCTTAAAGATGCATTAAAAAACCTAAAGAACTTCAAAATGTCACCAATAGTCTTTAGAAAATTATTGGAGGAAAATAATGACACTTATAATAGTAACAAAAACTTAAAATATCTGGGAATAATAAATATAATTTTGCCCTATGTGAAGCACTATTAAACTCTATAAAACAATATAAGAGAAAATTTTAATAAGTAAAAAAACAACTTTTCCTGGTGGGAAGACAAATATTATAAACATAGCATTTTTTCTAAATGTATTTGCTTAATGAAATTCCAAGAAGAATCCTTGTGATATTCTTCTTGAAATTTGACAAAACAAGTCAAAATAAACATTTTAATATCTGAAAAATAAAACAAAAAGTAGCAATAGAGGTTGGGGAAGTAGAAAATTAGTCCCAAGATATTCAACCACATTGAGTGCCTATATGGTTCAATTAGTATCAGCACCCCCACCCCCCAAAATCCTCAAATATACCCAATTAGAAAAAAGTAATGAGAAAAATCAATTATAGTACCACGTATATCTTGGTGTTTACTATATATATGCCGAGCACCGTGCTAAATATTTTATGTGCATTTTATCATTTAATCTTTACAACTCTGTAATGTAGGATTATTCAATCGATGGGACAATTTGCTAACAATTTTGAAAAAGATTTATTTAGAGGTTTAATAGCCTTTCTTTAACTAGGGTTCTTTTTCTGGAACATGGAAAAGTGATTTAAGTGACTATTTTCTCAACTCTTCCAAAAGTGGTATGTATCCAAGACCACTCCAGAAACAAGAGGAATTAAACAATGGATGCCTGAGAGCATTACAGTTTAATTCTCTCCAGTTGAAAAAGGCTGCCTTATAACATCAAGATAATTAGATTAAAAATAGATAAACAAGATTTAAAAAATCAGTCAGACAAATAAGAAAACAGAATGTACTTTAAAGAGATCTTACTAATTTGGAATACAAAGTAAGAAAAATTTCAACACATTTTATTCACATGAAAAGTGAATCCTAAGTATGCTGACAATAAAACAGTAAATGACAAATTGAGGAAAAAACTGAAAGATTTTTAGGTATACAGTTAATATCTTTACCATATGAAGAATTTGCCAAAAAAACACAAAACACAAACAAAACCACTAAAAAACAAAAAAGAAATCAGTATATCAGGCAATTTACAAATAAGTAAATATAAAATGATAAAAAAAATAATAAAGTCCAGCTGAAAATTAAAAGGGACTATTAAATTTGCTTAATTACATAAATTACCTAATCCTAATGGCAGCAAAGCAAAACCAAACTCTCAGTCACTATGGTGAGAATAAAGACTTGTTTAACCTTTCCAGAAGGCATTTTGGCAATGCTGTATCAAGAACTAAAGTTGAGTTTTGATCCAGTAATTCTTCTACCTCACCATAGTTCATCTAAGAAAACAATCTTCAATATGGTGGAGGACATGATAATGAAAGGAAATTATTATACCATAATTGTGATAAATTAAACTAAATATCAAATGACAGGCTCAATGCTATTAGGCAAGAGTATCCTTTAAAACATATAATTATGGAGTCTGAGCAATACTGCCTGTGTTTATAATATCATATACTATAAGAGAGGAAAAAATTAATATGCAAATTATATACAGATTTCAAGAAAATATACTAAAATGCTTGCATGAAAGCAACTTTTGGTTACACAGGTAAGACTGTGATGGTTTTTCCTCTTTGTCTTAATCAATTTTCAGCAATACTTTACATTGTTTTTTTATACTAAAAATATACTTAAGACCTTTACAAAATTGATACCCATAGAGAAGTTTGTCCAGTGAACTGAAATGGCCCACTTAAACTAAACATTTTGCAACTATTATTTTCTAGATATACTGATATGATTTGTAAGTATTAAAGACTAGGAGCTCAAAAAAATACATATAGAGAGGCAATACCATATTTAAAAGTACTAAAAGCAAATTGTCTAAATACAAATTAGAATGAAAAATGAATCCCAGATTTGTAGCTTGAACAATACAATGATACATTCAAAGTGATCTAAAATGGGGTTTTTGTTGTAAAGACAAAAATGTTGAGTTTGAGATGCCTATGGTACACTCAATTAAATGTGTCTAGTAGACAAATATCAATCTCTCAGAAGTGAGACTGATTAGCTATAGACAGGCAGAGAAACATCTCTTCATTGAAACAAGTGTGGAATTGGATAAGGCTAGTTAGCTGATTTTGTGGTAGGGAGGGAGTTCAGGGAGTTTGTAAGTGATGTGAAGTAGAAAGAACTTTTCATTAAATGTAAGAAGGTGAGATGATAGTGTCTGAAAGATTTGAGATGAGTAGGAAACAGAAGAATGACTGGGCAACACTAAGAATCCAGTTAAGAGCAGAGAACATTCACTGATATCACTAATCTTCAGTGCGAATTTTTTTCCCCAGCTATGCTCATCATCAGCCTTGGTATAAACACTCCATTGAATCCATCAAAGGTTGGGACTTTGGCAGGCAGGTTTAAAAGAGAGACAGTGAGATAGAAAAGCTGAAGCCATTGGAAAACAATTGGTGCAAGTGATGGATGTTGGTATGCGAAGCTTAATGGAGATAAAAGAAAAATTATATTTTAAACGAGCACTTCTAAGCATTCTGTAACCTACTGAACTATGTTGAAAATATTATTTATAAGTATCATTTAGCTATTTTTGCAGCTTTATTTGGTTCTCTTGCAAAGAAATGAAAGGTAAAAATACTAAGACAATTTATAAGCTACTTTCACAAACTGGACTTGAAGAAAATCCTGTTGCACAATTCACTATAGAGAAGTATACATATCTAAGTAGACTATCACGGCATTAACTACAAAATATCTATAACTAAAGTTTACTTTTAAAATAAGAATACAAAAAAAATACAGAAAATTCAAAGAAATTAAGTAATCAAAGAAAAAAGATTATTTTCCTAAAATCTTTAAAGTTCAGATATTATTTCTCAAATGGCACTAAATTATTCATAACCATCTCTGGAAATACCTTACTTGTCAACTGATCACAGTAAATCAAGGTTTTGGAAATATTCATCCAAATAAAATAAAGTATAAAGTAGTTTTTTTCTAAACATTTACTTCTAGTCACAAACAAAGCTGGCATTTTATACATCGGTAACGAATTTTTTAAAGGTTGCATTTTTGAGGGTATTTCTTGTACTAACCATAAAAAGGAAATACTGCATACACTGTTTTGAAAGTTTTGATACAGTGTATAACCAAGTGCTTTTAATGGAAACTGAGAAGAAAATGCATTATTTGATATTATATACACTCTCCACCTGTTCCCAAACATTCCTCCCATTCTTTGGCTTCAATAAAATTCCAAATCCCTCTGAAAGCACTATTTCCTCGGAAATTCTTTCTAAAAGATGTTACTCTTCTAGTCTTCCAGATTCACGGGGAAAGGATACCATTTGCAGACCCTTCTTAACTAATGCTTAACCTTCTTCTTTTGAATAAATTAGTCATCAAAAATGACTGAATGGTACCCTATCTCTCCAAGAGATTTTGCACTTTTTGTGATAACGACTGGTTCATGGTTTCACTCTCCACTTTATTCCTGCTTGCATGACCTGAATATCTGCAATTTTTCTAAAACTCGGCCTCAATTCCAACATCTTCATCATGTGTAGTTCAATACTGTTTTCACTTTGAACTGGTAATTTGTTCAAGATCCTGAACTTCTGAAGTCCCTCCTTCTGATAAGTTCTTACATTCTAGCTCTTACTTTCTCATTCCTACTGACCCTGCTGAATACTTCTAGTCCAGGTCATTTCTCTCTCCAGGAATCCATTAATTCCTTGTTTCCTTATTCAACCCTAAACATAAACCCAAGTAAACTATTCCAAAAATGTTGTTAGTATCCCCTGACTCCCTATTTGCCTATTCTGTCAACTCAATCAATCCTGGATAAACCCCACTACCAGCTTTCTCTACTTCTACTCTCAAACTGTCAAGCAGTGGGGAAAGTTATAAAATGGCATTGACTGTGTCCACTATTAAGGTATATTATGCTACACTGTATGCACACACGAACATTTTCAAAATATAAGTTTACTCCATGAGGTTAAGCACCCAGTCTGTTTTGCTCATTGCCCATATCTACAGTACTTTAGTCATTAAGTACCACATGCAGGCACTCAATTAAATTTGTAAGATGAATGTACTTCTATGTATCCTTTGTTGGCTTCTTACTTAATTTCCTAGCATTAAAATTCCAAACCCTTTATATTTTTTTCTAAGTCTCAAATACACTTGTCTCCTTTACAAATGGCCAACTCTCCTATTGAGAAAACCAGGATCTTCTAATATGAGTTAACTCAATAGCGCTGTTTTTGTGTCATCTTAACCATCTTCCCTCACATGTTAAAAGAAATTATTTTAAAAATCATTTTATAATTCATCTTATTTTACCAAATGCCTACTTAATACTCTAGTGTTAAGAACTCTAATGTACACACTCACATTTGACCTTTCCCGAGTTCCATTTTTCTTATCTTATTGTATTACAGTTTTCCAATTAAAATACTACTGATAATTATAATTAAGACATAAATCAACTGTCAATCTCTACTTTCTCATGAGGATGAGTTTATTTCATAAAGGAGCTGAAGATCTGCTTTCCTAGAAAGCAAAAACATTCAAAAATTTTTGAAAATAGACCATCTTAAAATTTGAACAATTAAATTCAAACTCATTCTGAGATTTTCTTTAAAGATCAATTATTTCTAAAATACTTTTAACAAAAATTTCTTCTAATCCTCATTCTTTAGTCATTTAATTTCTAAAATGTCCTTAGCAAATCTAAGTTTTTCTGTATGAACTTACATTGACTTTTTTCTGTTGCTCAGAGAATCTTTATATAACCAGCATTTGATAATGCACTATGCATAGAAACTACTGTTTAATTTTAGACAGCTAAAAGAAAAAAACTTCAGTCAATAGTATACATAACAAGCTCAAAAAATGAAGTTTGTGAATAAAAAATAAGAACAGCTAAGTAATAGAAAAGTTGTAGAAGATGACTTAAGATCAAACTGATGTAGCTATCCAAATAGCTGTTATAGGACAAATCCAAATAGGCTAAAGAAGTTCTATGAAGACAAAGACATTTCAGAAGGTAATACATAAACTATTCATGGCTCTTTTCTAATAAAAGTATAAAAGCAGACCAAAAACCAGGGCAGCAAACCAGAAGGTTTGTTTACTAAGTGGAGAGGGCCCTCAACCATGCACTGATATTTTGACAGTCTCCATCATAAAGTCTTCTTCAACTATAATATGAAGGACAATACATATATAAAGACGTCAAATTACCTGTTTAGAAACTAGTTTTTGAAGCTCAGAATCAGCTCTTTTCCTGCTTCACACGTCAAAGCTGTTGCCTGCTTTTGATAAAAAAAAAAAAAAAAAACTTCAGGAAATTACACTATGAAGTATAGAATAACAAATACTATATGTATAACCTAAAAAGTTTATAAAAATCAACAGAAAAGAAAAAACCCAATTTATCAACATTTTAAACTCAAGTTTCTTTAATTCTTTTGGAAAACAATGTGATACACGTAAATGTTTAAATCCTTCAAACTTTTAAGATCCTACCAAACAACGTGACACCTTCTTTGAAATATAAGGCCAATGGTTAACCCCAATTATCATAAAGATCCATGCCGAAGTTTACTCTTCAGGTTGATCAAGTCATTAACTTCCCATCATTCAAACTGTTCAAGAACTTTGTCTATCCAATGGGGGTGGATGGGTTAAGGGGGTAAGGTTTATTTATTTAAAAGCTAAGCACTTCGAAAGAAAATAACCTGGTCACTACACAAACCTAGGTTTACCTTCAATTCATTAACTCGATTTTAGCGGTTTCCAAGGGCTCTCACTAGGAAGGTG